GCCAGCCGCTACCCGAGTTTTGGTTTTGTTGATGGTTGGTGGGGTGATCGCCGGTGTTGGATATCCTGGGTGGTAGTGTCGTTGTGTGAGGTGTATGTTGCGTGAGGTGAGGTGGTGAATGTTGCGAGAGGTGATGTGGTGAATGTTGCTGATGTGTGACGTAGATTGTGTTAGTTGATGTGTAGATTGTGTTAGGTGTGTTGGCGTGTATGTTTTCGGGACGACGTAGGCTCATTTAGCCAAATAGGTTTAATGTGCATATCTCCTCAACCGCTAATGCTATAATAACAAAATTCACTGGAAGCAAATATTTTTAGCACTTCTATTGACGGTGTGAAAGTAGTTGAAATCGGGTGGCAACTCCGCCCACTCCCCATATAACGGTACTGTTAAAAACTACTAAAAGCGCGATAAATCTAGCACTAAACACGCCAGATACAATAAATTTTATCTCTGGGATGCTATGAGATGACTTTATAGGAACCGCGTTCAAAATTAGACAGTGGGCGTGGCACCGCCCCGTTTTAGGTGAAAACCCATATCTTGAGATCTGCTTAACCGATTTCAACCTACTTCGGTGCATAACGTTCTTTTCATATTTCTATGTCATAGTGCGAAAATGGGCGAAATCGGACTACAACCACGCCTATTTCCCATATAACACCATTTTCAATTCCATCTGATTCTGTCACTTTCCACTATGCATATCAAGCAACAATGATTGTATCGGGGTAAAACTTTGCGTGAATAATGCGTTTGAAGTATGTCACCTAGTGACCAAAAATTGTCTAAATCGAGGCAAAACTGTTCAAACCTCTAGGTAATGAATATGTGGACCCCAGTGCCTATAGCTGACTTTTTACCGAAAATATCGGTCAACATAGAACTAGGCGGCAAGATCCACAAAGAAATCTAAAACGAGTATACCATTTGACTTTGCGAGAGTATTAAATGTTCGGTTACATCCGAACTTAGCCCTTCCTTACTTGTTCATTTTGTGTTTACCAATTAATTAACTATTCCAAAGTTTTCTGCCATTACCTCTTTCTCTTTACGATACTTTTCCATTTCTACCAAAGGAGATTAACTAATTTAAGAGAAATAATTTTTTTTTTTTTTTGGTTTTTGATATGGGCGAAGGTGATCAGAAGAAATGTTAGATGATTATAAAGCAGGAGTAAAAGTATTGAATTACAAGTCTAAATTTAAAGGAATAGGCTTCGGCAAGATAGAAACCTTTTTATGACCTTTAATTCTTTTTGTTTGACTGAAAAATTCTTTGATGTTGTTAAATTCGATTGGTTACAACAATGGTGCCTTATGTCATATAGACACACATTTTTCCAAATTGTACCCGTATTTAAATAAATATTAAGTTTTAACTCAGATAGGGTAAATATATATCAGCACCATTAGGCACCCATATACTTTTAAATTTGTAAATTCAGAGTAACACGAAACAAATTGATGGATGCCTGGAAGTTTGCATTTGTGCTGTAAATTGGCTCTTGAAATATATTTTAAAATTTTCTTGCTTGAAGTAATAATTCGGAATGCTCGATTAGTTTTTCAAAAGCATATTTGAATACATTCGTGAATAAATGTGCACTGCAATTTAAACGTGTATGGTTTTCTAATGTCTTCATTAAATTTCTAATCCGATCTGTTACATATTTAATTTGTTCAATCTTACTAATGTCTTTTTAAACAGTAATTGCCACTTTTCATATAAAAGTTTATTACAAGCAGTTGAAAGCCAAAGTTCATTGATTTAATTCCTAAAATAGTTGCACATATGTATTTATTTTAAAGACTTTTTGATAAAGTTACACCTAAAATCCATTGAAAACAATTGTCGAATTTATATGGGGCAATTGATGGGGTACAACTTAAAACTATCCTTTATCTGCTTGTTTACCAACGCTATTTTATTTTCTGAATATCTGTGCGTTTTGGAAGAAATTGTAATGCTTTTAGGCAACAAGTCTTGGATGTCAATATTTTGATCGTACGTTGCACCAATTTTAATGGAAAACTTGAATCATATCTTTGAAACCATGTCCTTCGACAAATGGGCGACAGTCATGAATAAGAGGAAGAGAAAGAGGATAAGATCTTTTATGAGAGTTGGAGTCCGCTTATGATAGCTGCTCCGCCACGATGTCAAAATTTTTTTTGCGGTTTTAATACCTGAAACTATTCTCGGCACAACAGTTAGTAAATAGTAGGACCAGAATCCAGCAGAAAGATATTAGTCAAGCTAGTACACCCGTCAACAAATACAAAAAAAGTGGGACGTCGAGAAGCTGTAATCAGAACCGACAGCTAAATGGTTTTCTACACGACTTGCAGTCTGCTGTCTGAGACCACTCAACAGAAACATGTTCCCACCGACACTTAATCACAAGATTTAGGCTGTTGAATAGATTATCTCACTAATCTACTAGATTTGTGCGACTCTGATTTAGCGCCATCTATTTGTCAGTAGGGAAAATTATTACACAATCACAGCTGACACTGCGAAGAGAAAAAAATTTAACACAAAATCAAAATGTAAAGAAACAAATAAATTAAAAGAATTTAAAGGCATCCAAATTCCATTATTTTCATTGAATGAAAAATATTTCAAACGATTTGACTTATATGACAAAATACGACATTGCAACGTTTTCTTTTAATAAATATTAAACGATGTGCATTTTTTTAATGTCAAATACAGTTGTTTTATAAGTTTCCAACGGCAGTGAGGACAGTCTAAATTAAAAGCATAAGTGTGCTCTTTCCAATCCACAGAAAAGGGGACTCCACAATATGCGCCTCTTCAAAATTGCATATAAAGTTCTGTCCAGCGTCCTATATGGAAGACTAAAGCCCACCATCAACAAACTAATTGGAACTTATCATTTTGACTTTACAGCAGGAAATTGATCAGATATTACCCGTGAAAAGAGGATCACATCACATCACCTCTTCGTCGACTTTAAAGCCTTCGTAGCACGGAAAGAAATTGCCTACATACCCTATTTCTGAATTTGGCATCCCCGTAAAACTATTACGGCAGTGTAAACTGACGTTAACCAAAGTCAAAAGTTCACTCAGGATCGAGAATGACCTCTCCAAGCCGTTTTATACCAAACGTTGTTTCAGGCCAGGGGCTTCCTATCGTGTGTTTTCATCAATCTATTGTTGGAGAAAACAAGTTAAATAGAGAAGGTACAAATCTCTATAAGAGTGTCCAGCTGCTGGCGTACACTGATGATATTGATATCATTGACCACAACAACCGCGTAGTTGTTCTGCTTGTTCTGACTGGAAAGGAAGCGAAGTGTATGTGTATGAGTATGTGAACGTCTTCAAACAAACAGGCATCGCATTCGCGGCTTAGCTCACGTTTCATTGTTGACTTTCATAGTTTTGAAGTCGAAGATAATTTGGTCAATCTTGGTACCAGTATTAACATCAAAAAACTTGTCAGCCTTTGAATTCAAAGCAGAATCACTTCTACCTACCAACAGGTTCTAAGTAGGCAAATGAACAGTAAAGTCCTCTTTCGACAAACAAAGACTAAACTATACAAACCCCTCATCATCCCTGTTCTACTATTCGAGAAAATTTTATGTGAAGCAACACATGCATTTTTCTAGTAACCTCTAAATATTTAATATTTTCGAGTTTTGATATTTGTTATAAACATTTCACATACAGTTTTTAATTTAACTTTGTTGATAAACGAAAAGAGTTAATAACTATCATAATTAGATTAAAAGCATTATAATTTTTCATATTTTACGTTTTATAGCTCATGAGCAGGGATGGACAAAATCTTGGCATATGCTAAAAGAACGTAAGTGATCGTATACCATACACATAGTTGGTAAAGTTAGTGACCGACGCAAAAATTTATACCGAATCAGCTAATAGGAACTATCTTATGAAAGCGCAATGTAAATGAGCCCTCATCGGCGCTTCTACCACCCGTAATGTTGGATATCCGCGAATTGGATTTTTCCTGTAAAAACGAGTCAGCTGAATGCTCTCTGCAAAAACCAGTGTTGCTAGTCTAGATGTTTTGTAGTAATTAAGAAATAAACTTGAATATATTAGAAATATTCTTAAACTAACTCAAAATCACAGTCGAATACAATTATTTATAAGTAAATATGTAGAATATTTTTAATAGTTGTATTTTAGTTTTGATCTTTTACATTATGAAAAGCTATATGTGTGCAAACCCATGTATACAATTTGATCAATGGCAACAATGCTCAAATTTGAGCAAAAGCGAACAACTGATTTCTACATTGCCACTACGGGCATTACTTTTGACAAATTTCTTTTGATACGATCGGTAAGTACGGAAGGGCTGCACATCGGTCACTAATTGCAGCATAAGCCATGATACAATCTGTGTGGAATAATCAGTTCACTGAGTAAGTTAGTGCACATTTTACGTATGAAAATAAACTTATTCTTACTTGATAAAATATTCTATTTTGCCTTTTTTTGTCCAACTATAATCTAATTGCTGAAATAATATTAATTTTGATACATTCATTTGCCCGTATACATATTCAGTCCGGCATAAACCCGCTATCTCCACTTTTGCAAGCAGATTGAGTATTTTTGTCTTTGATTTGTTTTGCCAAACAGTTAACGCATTAACACAATGTCATTATACAAGTATGAGCGTTTCTTTAATTGGATATATGGTAGGAGGACAATTTTGTATTTTAAAAAATGCACATTATGATATTTTATCCAGTAAGAACTAGTTTAATTTCATATGTAAAATGTGGATCTCCGTCCGCACTACCCATTCAGTCTACTGTTGATTGCAGACAGAGTTTTTTGTCGCTTCGTCCCATCGAAAAGGCCCATGCAAACATGATATGTTAAAAGACATGATATATTAAATATATAACAATTCAAAATTTAAAAAATGTATTCCTATGGAAAATTTATAATATATATATAATATTATAATATAGAGGCACACCCACCTTTATGTAGCAGACTCTCTCTTTTTCGGCATTTAGCTCTCCTATTTTGAAACCAAACCTGGAATAAAAAATAATAAATTTCGAAGTTTAAAAATCGATTCCGCTTGAGTAACACATAATAAAACTAGACTTCTACAACTAACATAAACACGAGTAAATGCCTAATAGTGCGATTTATCAATTTTTTTCCAGAGCGGTGTATATCTGATATTTTAAATGTCAGCATGAGAAATCGACTTATTTTTACTTTTTATTTTAATTTAATTTTTAACATTTTGCAACAAAGAGTAACACCTAGAACGAAACGATTTGAATTTCCAGTGATGGTCTACCCGTTCACCCGTCCATTGATATAACCCTATTATCTATATCGATTAGTTTTAGGTGATGCAAACAATCGTTGGTTAACAAAACTATTATATTCTGTAGCAACATGTTACAAGAGTAAAAAAACGTTACTCTCGGTTGCACCGAAGCTATAATATCCTACACAAATAAAAGAGTTTTCATACAAGAACTTAAATTGAATAATGCAGTTTGTATGGCAGTTATATAGTGGTCCGATCTGAAAAATTTATTCAGGTATATTGCCACTGATTTGGAAAGTAATCCATTAGAAATTTCGTAAAGATATCTTGTCAAAAAAATAAGTTTTCCATACATGAAATTGATTTTGATTGTTCAATTTGTACAGCAGCTATGCGCTATAGTAGTCCGATATCCGCAGTTCCGGTAAGCTTCTATGAGAGAAAAGGACGGGTCCAAAATTTCAGAGCGATATCTCAAAATCTGAAGAACTAGTTCCCGTATTTTACAAAAACGGACAGATGGACATGGGTACATCAACTCGGCTCGTCACGCTGATCATATACATACGAGCACACACACATATACAACGTAACAAACTTCGTGGCGAACTTAATATAGTCTGTTCAGAGGATAAAAAATTATTAGGGTATTCACAAGGTGTCATATTGTGTCATATCACTCTGTTGTTGTTACCCATACAAAATTGAAATACGACAAATACAACACGGCGAGGTATGTTTTTTGAGTGTGCTATTCTATCAGCTGTATCTGTTTACTTTTTTATTGTTGACGTTTAAGTGTCGAAAATTAATAAATTAAATAAAATTAATAAATTTCTTTAATAATACGGAAGGAAGCCACGATATTCAGGTAAATTAAGTTGAAGAAAAGTAAACCATAAAAATATTTTGTTGTTTCTGTGGTTGCAATGTGAACAAAATGCCGCTGTTTCAATATAAAGCTGGTGAAGTGTAGAAATATTACATAATATGACATACAACAATTAAGGGGTGCTCACAAGTGTCGTATTTTTTAAGCTATTGAAATACGACATAAGACATAAGACGAAGCTTGTGAATTGCCTTTATATAAGTTACCATACGTCCTACATTACTGTGACTTCATCTTAAGTATATATGTAGCTTAATTACTGAGTTATAGAATTTTAAAATTTTCGGTTAACGTATCTTGGGACATGAAAATGGTCTCTTGGACCACCTATATGTAATTTTTTTCTTAGACCACAAAGGAACACATGTTAAAAAATTACGTTTAATTCCATTTTTTTTTTGTTTGATATTCTTTTATATGGTTGAAAGTCACTTAAATATAAATTTCGGCACCAGAAGTAACCTTTTCTACGAATTTCGGTATTTCAATCATCTCATAGCGAATATATACCTATATTTTACACATTTAAGAATTCAATTCAACTTTAATTGGTTATATCCTGCTTACTGATCACCCTTTAGCTTGTGCAAATAAAAGTTATTTTAATTAGGAAAGTCATGATTAAAATGCCATCTAAGCAGGAGATTTCGTAATAATAATCTCGTTACTTCAATAAACATAGTATAAAACAAAGTCGCTTTATCTGTGCCTATATCCCTATGTCTGCTTAAATCTTTAAAACTACGAGTCGGATTTTGATGCGGTTTTTTGAATAGATAGACTGATTGAAGTTGAAGGTGTATAGGTATAACATGCATTAAATATTCGAGAAATACTGTTATTTTTAAGGTTTTGGAGGCCGCGGTTCTTCCACAGAAATTCCTGCACTTCATTAACAAGTCTCATATATTCGGTCCGCCGCGCTGTCATATGAATATAATAGAATGGCAGAACGTGGCTTGCGACATGTACACCTGCAGGTGTGGTTAGTGAATAAAATTAGACCCAACCAAATTGACAATGCTATTTCAGCTGAATTATCAGATAAAGATGAAGATCCAATCCTGTACAAAATCGTAAAGAAACATATGGTACAAAAATTCCCGAAGTGTTCCAACTTCAAATAAGTACTAACGATGACGGATATCCCAAATATCGTCGACGATCGCCAGAACAGGGTGGGCAAAATGCTACCGTCCAAAAACAGGATATTGATAAGCGATGGATCGTTCCCTATAATCCGCTCTTTCTGAAAATTGTTGATTCCCACATCAACGTAGAGTTGTGCAATTCAATATGTTACTAAGTACATTAATAAAGGCAGTGATCAAGCCACTTTCAGCATACAGTCATCAAATGAAGTGGAAAGATATCAGTATGGACGTTACACCTGCAGCTCTGAAGCTGTATGGAGAATTTTATCATTCGAAGTGCACGACCGGGCTCCCACAATTGTCCACCTTGCAATTCATTTATAAAATGGACAAAGGGTATGTTCATTGAGAACAATATACCAGAAATGGTTAATAACCCGCGGGATACAACATTGACAGCATTCTTCAAGTTATGTGCTTAAGATGATTTAGCGAAAACACTGGCACATGGCAGAGTTCTAATAACCAGATAATGTACAATATGATTAAAATTTATTTAACGAAGCAATATTAGAATTAAACAAAGTAGTGTAATTACTTTCATGTAAATCGATCAAGGATTATGGGCTGCCGATGCCAACTTATACTACTAACTCAGATTTAACTAACAGCGCCGAATACACAAGAGAAACATCATTCGACCAAACGAGACTTTTATAAAAAATAGCTCAATATGAGCCACGATTAAACATCGATCAGGAGAAAGTATTCACCAAAAATTGATAACAATAACTGAATATAGTTTTTCCTTGATGCCTCAGGAGGTACTGAAAAAGATTTTTAATCAATCTGCTTTTAACAAACGTGAGATCTACCGGAAAATTGTGTTAGCTGTTGCGTAACCCGGCATTGCCGCTACGCTTTTGGAAGGAGACCGAACTGAACACTCTACATTCAAGCTCCCACTGAAAATAGCCAGCAATGATGAAATATAGAACAGCATCTGTGTTTCTAAACAGAGCAAAACAGAGCAAAAATTGATGCGTGACTGCTCATCAATAGTCTGGGTCGAAGCTACTATGTCAAACAACACGTCTGTGGAAGCATTGGATAGGACAATGCGCGATTTGCGCAACAAAAATGCACCTATGGGTGCATGTACAATTCTGTTCTCAGGAGATTTCCGTCAAATCCTACCAGTTTTGACTCGAGGAACACATGCTGATGAAATAAATACTTCCCTAAACCTTTGGCCACATGTCAATAACTTAGAGCTTAAAACTAATATGACAGTTTCGTGATCTTCACGTGAGAACAGACTATTTCCAGGGATGCTGCTAAAAGTTGACAATGGAGAGTTAACACAAAGTGAGGGTAGGATTAACCTAGACAACCTTGGTGTTTTGATAGACAACATCCAAGAGTTAGTCAACAATGTGTATCCTGACATTGATAACATAAGTTATAAGACAATATCTTGGTTTAAAGAAAGAGCGATTTTGTCACCAACTAACGAACAAGTAGATAAGGTAAATAACTTGATTCTTTCAAAGGTTGAAGCACCGACGAAAATATACTACTCGGACGATACTGTTCTCGATTTGGAAGAAGCTGTTCATTTTCCTATAGATTTTCTAAACTTTTCGAATTCCTTCTCACAAAATGTTGTTGAAAGTAGGTTGTCCTGTTATATAATTAAGAAACATGAATCCACCAAACTTTGCATTGGCACTCGTTTGCTGGTAAAATCACTGAAAACTTTCATAATAGAGTGCACAATATTCACAGGATGTGGTACCGGAGAAGATGTATTGATTTCCCGAATCCCTCAGATACCATCGGATCTACCCTTGCAATTTAAACGATTACAGTTTCAGGACATCTTTTGCAATGACCATTAATAAATTCCAGGGTCAAACCATCAAAGTTGCAGGCTTAAATTTGAGAGTTGACTGTTTTTCACATGGCCAACTGTACTTGTATGTCGCTCTTTCAAGAGTAACGTCTAGAGAAAACATGTTTGTATCGTATGCTAATGACAAAAAAGCTGTGAACGTTGTATATTTTAAAAATAAAATAAATAGGTAAAAATGTAAAAGGTAAATAAGTAAAAATGTAGTGTATGAATTTAGATATTCCAAAGATAGCAGGAAATCTCCATGATATAGGGAAAGGGGAATTGTTTTACTCCAAATTTAACGCGTGCGGGCCACGGACAGTAATGCATAAATCAAACCTACTGGATCGATTTTAATAAATTTTTCGGTGAGTGACATAGGCTATATATTTTATACTCGTTGGCAGCCGGAGCAGGCCGCTATGTTTTTATATACAACGTTCACAGTTTTTCTGTAGGGTATTTAGTACCAGTATTGCACCCGTGCGAAGCCCGGGCGGGTCATAAGTTTATTATAATTCAAGTTTATATTGAGCACAAAGAATTTCAAACTCACTACAGACATAAGTAACGACAAATTTCTATGTCATTTGAAGACCAACTTAATTGCACTACTTTAACCCTTTAGCATGTAATAATTTCAGATAGTTGTGAAGCTGTTTCCTATGTTACAACCAGAGAACTTAGAATAGCTTCTTCTTCTTCTAAGTTCTCTGTTACAACCACGGTTACCATTTGACTTTTTTTTTAACCAAAAGGTGGACCAAATTGGGTAAAATGGACCAAGCCCTATTCGAATCGGAAAAGCGGAAGTTAGAGGGGGGTTGTTCGGTGTGTAGTGTGAGAAAAAAATAAAATATATATTTT